GAAACAATTATAAAATTATGTCTATCAAAGTAGGGTCATGCTAGCCATGGCTTAGTCGCACACTGAAGTGGAATGATCAGCTCCATATTGCAAAGCTGGCATGACTGTTTTTAGTGTGCCCGAATGCCATTAATGATGGGGGCATTCTTTTTATGGTGCTTCTGATCCTACGGCAGCTTTTTGTTTAAACAATTGATCTTAGCAAGTCACTAGATGTGACTGTGTAACCATTATTTAACCCTATTTATTGAGGAGTAGCAGTAGAAGAAGATTAAACAATATATGCACATTTTCCTTTGTTTTTGGAGAGTGTTTTAACTTGTGGCGATTACCAAAGTTAATTAATCATTTTCTTATGAATTGTCCATCTAAAAGTATAAAGCTACTTTATGTAGACAGTATCAAATGCTCACTTATTTATTCCAATCCTACCACTTGCTTTTTAAGCAATTTTACCATTGATCTTAGATTTTCAATTTCTGCTTCTTTGCAACACCAAACTCCCTCGATTAGTAAGTGTATGCCTGTAATTCACATACTTGTAGCAATATCTCCAACTGATACAGCTTTCAAATTTAGAAAAGCCCAAATAAAACACTACCTTCATAAACATCACTTGATTCTTCAAAAGATTTAAAGTTTCAGACACTGACACTAAAAGAGTATCAAAAAACGTCTGCTCACAATCAATGTAAAATTATGTAGTACAATTATGTACATATTTGAGTGAATAGTCCGCAAGAAATGATGCTCAAGGCCACGGCCACAATTGGGAGGGAGATACTTGTTGATGAAGGTGATTAGGATCACTCATGGCACTCTTTGAGAGAGAAAGCCAGCTGACCAGTCCTCATTGCTCTGACTGATATTTTAGTAGAACCAAGAGTGGAATCATCCACTTACTTTAAAACTGCTGAGATTTTTCATCTGTTATAGCAAAGTAACACTATTGAGTTTAATCATATTGGCCATAAAACACCAGAAATGAATGGGATTGGCTGCCTGACATACTTATGAGTTTATCTTTAGTATCATTGAGATGAATAAGAATAAAAAGGAAGGATTTGAAAATAATCTTCATTTGAACAACACACTTCTTTTGCTGTATTTGCTTTTATTGACATAAGTACGTGTCAATGTGTCAGGGTAGAATTTGTTAATATGACCCATTTATGCATGCCCCCCTCCCACTAACTTTGTTTATACAATCTTTTGGTCACGACGGGAATGCATGCATCATATTAGGAATGTATATTTCAATGTGTTCAGTTGTGCTTTCACTCTTTATCTTGTCTGACTACTCTTTCTCTTGCTCTTTCTCCATAATCATTATGAAGGCTAGCAGCAATCACACTTCGCCTTTTTTATCAAAGCCAAATGGAAAAACATGAGCTTTAGAATTTAAATTTGATGAAGGCAAGGCTATTTAGTGATGATGGAATGTTATTTCTAAGTTGAAGAGTGCTAAAATTGGGGAATTTGATTAAATAATAATTAAAAAGGTATATAGCATTACCGAGGTATTGGCATTCATTGTACAGCATTTTTGAATACCTTATAGCCTTACATTTTTCTTCAGTCTGGATTTTACAGTGTCCCCACAACAACATGCTAAAAACACTGACAGTGTTATTTTATATGAAAAGTGTGGTATGTGGAGATTAGTATTTTTAAAGAAGTTAAGTGCTTGGAGCAGAGTTGATTTAGCAAATCTGTTGGAGGACATATCTTCTTTCTGTGGAGCAAGTGTTAATGACATTGAATTTCCCCAGTCTTTGAAATTTATCTGTAATGAGTCTCAATAATGCTATGATCCTAAGGAAAAGCTATATTATTCAATAGGCTTTGAACCCATATGTATATATATATTGTGCTGCTTTATATAATAGTCATCATTCAAATTACTATCCACAGACTAAGGAATGCACAAGGTCTCGAGTTTTGAGACAGAGACATAGTAAAAATTGAATGACATCAAAATTCTCTAAAAATAAAATATAATAAACAACATTATGCTACAGGTAATATAAGTTGAAAGTCAACTGTTAATAAAGCTCGCAATAAAGTCTGGCCTAGGCCCAGTGGCCTGTGGAAATGACAGCGGGTACAAAGTTGGAACAATTGTGAGTCTTCAGAGTGCGCAAAACTTTAGATCGATTCACAGACCAATAATCCATGCAGGTAGAGACTGCTCTCCTTCTGTGTTGAAATCAATGGTTCACTAAGCCTTAATACTAAATATGATGGCCGTGGAAGGTAAGATTGATACATTTCCCGTTAGCAAGTGCAGAATCTCTTTTCTTGACTTCTTCCAGACATTATAGCCTGAAAATAGTTAGATTATGTGAACCTAAAGCCTCAATCTGTTAATAAAAGTACCTTTTTGAGCTTCCTATCCTCCATTGCTACCATTTTATTACAAGGTGTCGTGCTACTGAGTATGCGCATTGACATGCACCTTTGATATGCCCACTCGTTACTACACAATTATGTTAACACCCCTGTTTGGGATACATTACATTTGTATGACCTCACCCTTGGGCCTGCAGCCTGAGGGCTCAGTCCTACAGCCGCAATGTTTTCCTCGTGGGCATGTTATAATGTTTACTTGTTCGCCAAAGTGAACTGGTCAATGTATTTTATTAGGTTAGCTCTTTGCATTCCTACAATTGTAACGCTTTTGTAAATGTTGATCAGAATCTTTAGTCCTCTTGCTTTTAGATTATTTAGTATAGAATGTATTAGTATTAGTGTTCCTGTCTGACCACATCCCATAGCATACTGTATAATCCAAAGACGTTTCAGACTTGTTGCATTTATATCTTCTATAAACAAGAGTAGTACATAGGATCAGGTATGCCATGATCCTGCCATGCTTTACAATGCAATAGAAAAATGTGATGGGACTCTTCAGTTGCTACATGCACAGTGCTTCTACAACCTCTTTCAAAGAGGTCACTTTTACACATCCATCAGTGTCTGGCCAATACTGTGAGCATTTCTGTCCTGGTTTTGTTAGTAGCAATATTACTTGACTTTCCTTTTGCTTAACTATTTGGCAATAGTCATTCATGGTCGCCAGGAGACATTCTTGAATTGCTATATACTTCAAAACAGAATCTAATACTCCTCCATTTATGTAGCTTGCATTTATATTGTCTGATCTAGGTAGCTGTTGACCATAGCCTGTTTGCTTGTGTGATCGAATGAAAGTATATTCTTGCTCCAGTTTTTAGGTCTATTTGCCACTTTTCTGCCTTCTTTACAACTATTCTAGTCTTTAGTTGTGTCTTCTCAAACTCTTTTGAGAAACTGTCATATTTAAACTGGAGCGTCACCACTCTTCTAGTAACAAATACTGGTAAGGTGTACTATGTACTGTATATCCAGTGGCCGAGCTGTCAGCAAAGTTGCTCTATTAAGTCTGATAGACTGTTGAAGATGAAGTTGTTCCCAATTTGGAATGTGTTATTGTGATATTTTATGAGTACGTTGAAGAACTTTCCTGCTACTTTTGTGGTAAAAACATAATCTCCAGAATTATAGAACTCTTAGTCATGTTTTGACACAGTGTAGTGGCACCTTTTTTCAGCATGCTTGAAGTCTTTGATATTCTGCACTTCCTCTAATTATGCACTTCACAACAGATTTATTAATAAGATATTATCAAGATTTTGCTAGAGTATTATCGAGTTGATTAAACTGTCCAGACTTCTATTGTGAAGTGAATCAATGATTGCTAAAATCAATTTTGCCTGAACAGTAATGCATTCTTATGTAAACCTGCCTAAGTGCTGTTGGAATGACTGGATGATTAATCTCTTTTAAAGGAGACAGCATCTCAGACCCTAGATCCTTGACAGCTGCAACCATTTCTTCTCTGTAGACCCAATAAAGCTTTTGACACAAGAGAAAGTGATATCATCAAACTTATAACTTTTCCTTGTTTTACTGTGAGACTATTTCTCTTGCAATTTGTTGCTAGATGTGGATTATGAGATTAATAGTAGAATTAGTAGAAGAATTATGACTATCCGTAGAAAGATCAGAGAAAGTTAATGTAGGTAGAGAACCGATGAAGCTCGCCCAGTCTGAAGAATCCAAAGACAGCAGTGCAAGCTATAGCCGAAAGAAGCTTGTCTGTGAAGTTGGATTCTGGGCCACACCATACTTCACAGAGCTGTCTCATAAATGAAGTAGTAGTAGGTGGACAAGTCCTATTAGCTTGACCAAGTAATATCTTTAGACTCCTAGTGACATAATGTAACCAAGGCCAAGAGTCAGTTTGAGGAGCTTGCAAACCTGCCAAACTTTGCAAATGACGGAAAGCAGACAGATATCTTTACTTGAAGATCCTGGTTTGCCAGGAAAGCCATAAAAAGACAGTGTTCTTCTAGTAAGATTTAAGTTGAGAACAAAAAGACAAATACCGTTTTGAGCTGTTGTGTAAGATGATTTTGTGGAGTATGCTAAACCAGAGTTATAGAGGCTCTGAACAGACCTCTCCAACATTCTATTGTCCACTGAAGCTCTAGATCAACAAGCATGGACAGAAGGCAAGATGAAATTTGAGATGGTGTCTTTGGAGCCTGAGGGAAAAGAGAAAAAAAGTCAGATAATTTGTTTCTTGAAACATATCTGCTGCTGAATTTCTCTTGCCCATGAGATAAAAAATTCTATAAGAAACACTGTAATGAAGAGACATCTGACATAAACTTATCTTTCTTAGACCTAAAAGATACAGTACTCACTACTGCAGAATTAATAAAAATACATTTCTCTCTAATAAAAGGACCCCAAATAGCAATAGCAACTACAATCAAAAAAGTTTTTTGCAGCAATGTTAACTGACAACCAAACTTCCAGCCACTTAACTTAAAACCATATGTAATCAATAGGGATGAAGGCTCCACAACCAGATGCATCAGAAGTGATAGAAGAACCAATTGAATCTGGGGGAATAATGCCAACACCGTTCCAACCCTCTAGAGATAAATGCTGCCCACCAAGCAATATCTGCTTTGCAGCCAGGGTTAAGTCTTACGAAATGTGATGGCTGTCTCAAAATGTTCTTGGCATTAATCAAGTTTCTCATAAATGGTCCCCCAAAGGGAACAACCTTTGCTGCATCGTTAAGGACGCCTATGATGACTTCCAACTGATGCTTAGTTGCAGCTTTCCTTTTGCTCCACTTAAATATTTCCTTCAAGGGAGCAACTTAATGGGGAGATGTAGTTCCCTTGCTACTGAATGAATTTCTATACCCAAAAATATGAGGGTAGAAAAGGAACTTCCACCTTTGTTGGCCCAGGCAAACCTGTCTGCTACAACGTTAAAAATGATTGGAGCTGACCTACATGTAAGACCGAAAGGAAGAGCTCTATTGAGATACTCATTGCCTCTCCATGAAATCTCAAGGAAATGACTGCCATCAGAATGGACAAGCACTTTATGATATGCAGATTTTAGTTGTGATTGCCAGGCTCCCCTTTTCTAGACAACTGAAGAGCACAAGCTGATTGCTGATGGTCTGCTGCATTGCAAAGAATACAGACAGAGACCCGAGCTCCTGAGAAAACATGGAAGCCAATAGTGAAGGGGAATTCCTGCCCCAGCAGCCTCAAGAGGCGATCATATGCTTACCATTTTTTACCCCCATGGCGTTGAGCATTATGAAAGATGACTTGGCTATATGCAGCCATCTCCCTAGCTTTAGGGTCGGAGGCAGCTACAGCCAAGTAGCTAAGGAAGTACAAGGCCCAAGTGAGTAGGTCATCAATTTCCTTTAACTTCAATCCAGCATTAGACTGAGCAACTCTGAAAGCTGCAATTTCTTTGCAGTATTATCTGGCATTAACTCTTTTAATTTAAAGAATTGGTTTGACTTGATTTTGTCAGCAACATTTGATGGAACCGCTGGGGAAGAAGGAGAAGTGATGAATGAGAGAGGCAATTCCCGAACAACTGTAGAAGAGAGGCTTGCTGGGCAAAACTCGGCCCAAAACTTGGCCCGTTTTTGTGTCAACTGATGAAAGCCAGAAAGTAGTCATAACTGCTAATTAGTGAATATGTAGCATTATCACTTACTTGAAACAAATTGACTGCCTTAAAACTTCTTTTTAAACTATCTCCTTTATACTCAAGAGCAGATGTCAATTATTTAAATTTAAATTACGCGAGTGGGCGGATAAGCATGCTCTTGACATGTGCGTGTACTTTATAATGCATTAAAAAATTAATCAGAGGATGGGGCTACAGAGGAGCTTATGAGGGAAACTCCAAATAATGATGATGAACTACTTAAAGCTATAGAGCTTGTTGTAGTTGTAGTATCAGAACTGCCTGCTGGCAGAGAAAGATATATAATTTTTTTAAATGGAGCAAGAGCCAAATGTGGCTTGAAATTGGGTTGCATGAACCACAACAGTGTCTTGTAAGGGATGCAAAAGACACTACGGTGGGAATGCATTAATAAAAGAAACCATACAGAATGACGGCATGGTTGGGTTGTACATGGTTTGGTCCACTTTTTAGATCCACATTACAATTCATACAAAAGACATCCTCATTTATGGGGCATTTTTATTTCCTATCAATACTATCCACACCATCTACTTCACTGTCTTCACTAGTTATATTTATATTCAGGTGTATGCGCAGGTGGAATTTAATTATGGACTATAGTGGCCATAGGAAGGCAAGGAAAGGCAATAAAAGGCCTTGTTTGCTCTGATGTGGTACCAAGAAAAATGAAGGCTAAGATTCCATTTCATATTAAGATCAATACATCATATTTTCCTTTAGAACTGGCATGGTAGCACATGATTGAAGTGAATTACAGCTGCTTGGTTGTCAGGGCGCATCTTGATAATAGTACCTCTTATTTTAGATGGTTTGACACATCTGACTGCTTCATTGGCATCTCTAATAGCCTCAGGACTTATAATTTGTTAAGTTACATGTGATATACTCAAGTTTAGACAATATGTTACCTCACCACAATTCATTTCTTCAATTACAGTACCTAATTGTAAAAATGTTTCACTTACATTTTTTTATCAGAAGCTTGAATATCTCCACATATGAACATCAGGACTTGTTTCATTGTAAAAGAAATCTTTTGTTTCCTGCATCTTTTCAAAGTTTGTTCTCCTTAATGCCTGCATGTCACAAGTTTTATTCCGATTTTTTTAGTTTGAAAGGCACTCACTTGTTTCATAGTTGATACAGAATAAGACAGCTTTTTATCAATGCCATTCAGTACAACTGCAATTACATTATGTCCTGCAACTGTAACATCAGTCCTCAGAGATTTAGAACAAGGAGCTGTAGGGTCAGGGAAAGAATCATTAGCAATGAAAGAAGGCCGCCTGAGATACCAATGAAGTGCCATTTTAATTGCTCCATTGTGTGCTCAGCTGGTATATTAATTATTAATGAACAAATAATCATTCCATAGACAATAAATGCTTTAAATTATTGAGTTGCTGACAGTTATAGACACTCTCCCTATATAATGATATACACTTCATGTATGTGTTATTTATAATAGTCTCTCCTCAATTTTAGACCTCTATAATATTGAATTTGAGTATTCCTGAGTGGTTCTCAAGACATTGTTGTTGGGCTTTACTGGATGAGTTTGAATACACTCCAAAAGTTGCTCCCGTCAAGTTCCTCTTGTTTTTAGCATATTCTTTACCAATTAGTGCTTGACTTGTTGCAATTCAGGTATATGTAAATTAAAATCAATATTATTACTTTTATAGTTTTTACTGTACATCTATTATTTTATTAATGCTACTCATGTGCCAACAATAAATTTAGCAAGCAAGGTGATGTTTGTAATGTGAACCAATCCCTATTTCAAATGTTACGATGGAAAGTGTTGCTTTGATGAGTAGCTATCAAAGTACCACTTTATATGTTACATGTATGCAACTTCAAATTTTAAAAAAAGCAAAGACTATTATAGTAAATGGTTATGCCAAAGCATGGTTCCAAACTTACTGCAGTTTTTATTACATTTTGTGATGTATAATGATGTCCTTATGCTGTGTGAAAAAATTGAGTTGATCCCAACTAGAATGTTTTTTTGTTATGACCATTTTTTGCAAAATACCTTGTAGCCCATGATTTTTCATTAAAAATTTATTACATTTTCTGATTCATATTTATGTCCTTATGCTTTATTGAAAGCTTAAGCCAACTCTGACTTCAATTTTTCCAATTATGGTCATTTTTAAAATTAGCAGATGTTTGGAAAAAAGTTAAGGCTATATATAATAGCCCTTGGTTTTTTCAAAAAATTGCTCCAAAATCACTCCCAATTATTATAACATTTTCTGATCCATTTGTTGTCCTTATACTATGTACAAAGTTTGAGCTTATCCCGACTAATAATTTTTGAGTTCTGAGCATTTCTTAAGTTGGGTGATTTTTTAAAAGAAGCTAAGGCTATATAGCACATGTTTTTTCAACAAATGGCTCCAAAATAACCTCCAATTTTTATTATACTTTGATACATTGAACTTTATCCTATGTAGAAATTTTGAGCTGATTTCAATCAGCATTAGATTTTTAATGCCATAATATTTTAAGTTGCTATAACAGTTATTATTCTATTTTATTGCTTTTCAGCCCATGAGCCATGTTTAGCTCACTTTGCATGCATTGTGTGAAACCCTGTGTTTTTGTTTATCTTTATATTTTCGTTGCTATTATAGTACTGTTTTTATTGTACATCCTAATGTTCAGTATTATAGTTAAGTTAGGTTTACATATACATTTGACAAAATGGTCAAAAAGTGTGTGGGTGATCTGACATTTTGATGCAAGAGTGGCCAAATTTTAATTTTGTGCTCATTTGCTTTGTTTTTTCTGGCCAATATAAACCATGCTTGATGTGTATAATAATTCTGCTATTTAACTGTTTGTTGTTTTGCAAAGATTTCAGTAAAAGTACTATTTTACTGATATCGCTGCATAATTGAGGGACTTAAATGACTTCCACTTTTTGATGTTTTCTTGAGAGTCTGAGAAGTAAAATTCACAAATTTCTAGATACATGTAGGTACAGTAAAAAATTTATACTTTTCCAAAATGTTTCTTGGAGGTATTTGTAAAAGTTTAATCCTTTGAAAGTTTCCAGCTAAATGTAACTTCTAATTGCACTTTTCTCTCACTCTCTCTTTTATTTTAGATGCTCTAATATAACTAAGTGTCAATTGTCATCATTCACTGGACTTTCCTGAGGGTCTCAATACTTGTCACTAATAACCAAACTAATAAAAGAGGAGAGAGTCCTCCAGTCACATGATCACTTCAGACTCTATTCAATCCTCTTCCCCTGGTATGGTTGAGTCTGTTCTTATCAGTGACATCTTCAAGTTGATTAGCACAAAATACTTTTGCATAACATTACGATTTGTTTAGACCAACTTGAGTAGAGTGAGATTAAGAAGGGAAGGAATGAATTTTTATAGTTCATTACTTTATCATGAATTTTTTTTGTTAAAGTTCTTAGATTTTACTAAGAAATAACCAACTAAAGTAGTGAGTAGCATGTAAGGTGACATGCTTATCCACAAAATTCCATTTACTGATCATGTGTTCCTGAGCACACTTTATGCTTTTTGTGAGTAAGCATGCGCATACAATTTAGAAAATTTATTTTTAACAAAATCATTTCAAACTTTACACACGCAGTATGTGCATCAAAAAACGTAGAATTTCCTCTGAGCCATTGTTTTTAAGGTGAAAAATAAAACATAAAATTAGAGTTTGAGACCAGAGTCAGTTCTTCATGACAGAATGTCCAAATGTTATGGTTAAAAGTGAACAGAATAGATTGCAGACTAAAGGATCTAATGCAATGCTTACATGTCTCTTCAAACTATAAATTTTAATGAATTTGTACTTAAAAGTGACAAAACAGTCACTGACAAGAATAACAATAATAATACTAATTATGTATAATAACTCTGCATGCATCACATTATGTAAATGTAGTGTATACAACTTTACAAATAATAGCTCAGCTAGACAATGAGTAAGATAGATTAGATAATGAAACTATAATACTTGGTTAACAATAATTAAATACAATGTTTGGTTCTAAATTTTCTTCCATTGTATCCAGTGCTGTAGCTAATGATGACCAACTGGAACCTCCTTTCTCTCTCACTTTATCTTCCCTTCTGAATAACTATACATTATTAAAGTACTAATAATACTTGATATACACAATTATGTTTGTAAAGTTCAGTGTACAATAATTACAATAATGCTTGTTAATGCATCATGTGTACATATCTTACCAGACTGTCCTTTCTCTATCGAAGTACTTCCATTTTCCTGAGATTCATTCGAAGAGTTGTTTGTTGTTCCTGTATTTTTATTATCATTACACTTTACTGCTCCATCTCCCTAGACACACAAAATGATGATAATGAGTGTTTCTAATAACATGCAGTTATACCTTACTATTGTCTCAAATCTTCCAATGTTGATGTTAGTAATGTTAGCTATCACATCAAGATCTTTAATTTCAAATAATAAAATGAATAATATTGTAAAACTAGTGACAGTGAGTGGTTATACCTTTTTGTTGATCATCATTGTACTCACTGATCTGTGTGGGTGATTAGTAGCTGGTTTGTCATTTTGAATTGTTGTCTCTATATTAAAGTATAAAATAATAATGCAAGCATTATTAAACCACAGTCACTATACATGTATGTAACTATACACTCCTATTATAACATACTCTCTCAAGCAGTTCATGATCAGTCTGTGTTTCTTGCACTTCATCATTGATCTTACGTACAAATAAAACGTTTGTTGATACATAAGATGTACATAATTATCTTACCAGACTATCCTTATCTACTGACGTACTTTCATGTTTCTGAGATTTATTGATGGTGTTGGTTGTTGTTCCTTTATCTTTATTATTACATATACACTTTACTCCTCTACCTCCCTATTATAATAATGATTATGATTATGAGTGTTTCTAATACCCATTTACCATTACCTCTCCTCCTAATAGTGACAGCTTACTATTACTAATTATCAGATCATTAATGATTTATCAGGTACACCATACAATACCATCAAACTCTTTTCTTATCTCTCTTGTCAACAGCAATAGCTTTACAAGCAGCAATAGCTAGTTTGTTCCTTGTTGCTTTAATATCATTTATGAGCCATTTTGCTAAACATTCTGTGAGACACTGTTCAGTATCCCGTGGATAATTATGCTCAATTGTTTTCAAATCATTGTAACTCAGACCCAAGTAGAGACCAAGATCAAACCATTTGATGGTTTGAAAGTGACCATCTCTTAACACTTGTTTTATCTCTACCAGATCCCTGATAGTCAATGTAACTATTATTAATCAATAGTTAATAATGAGAAAACAGTGACAGTGCGTGGTCATACCTTTTTGTTTATCATCATTGTACTCACTGATCTGTGTGGGTGAGTATATAATTAGTAGCTGGTTTGTCATTTTGAATTCTTGTACCTACATGTATATGACAAAAAAATTATTAAACCACAGTCACTATACGTATCTCCAGTCTACAAATATACTTGACAATGGTGATAGTACATCATTATATAACATACCTATCTTTACTGCAGTCAATGGTACATGAGCATTGAATTCTTTAAACACTTCCTATTCAATAATAGTAAATGATATTGTCAATGTGCTTGTATATTAAGGCAATAAACATCAGTAGTGTATTGCTAAATAATGAGATTAACAGATGTACAAGCAAAATAATTATTTTTGTTAGATAATGACAACCCACAATTATAACAAAGACTGAGTAGTTTGATAAGAAATAAAATTACTTTTAAAAGATATGACCTTTCAATATTAGTGCTCATATTAATGTATCAAACAGTTTGTGTGTGTGTTAATTCTTACCTTAATGTCATGTCCTCCTAATAGTGACAGGTTACTAATATCTGATAATGATTCATCAGGTAGGATCTCCTTCAATTCTGTACTTGTTCCATTTCTATGAACTAAGCAATTGCCTCCATTGCCAATAGCAGAAAGTATATCTTTTACACTATACACTGTCCTTTCTCTTGGTGTATTCACAGGATAGGCTAGTTCTTTAGGATCAATAACTAACTCTTCTACCTCTAGACTGGGACAGGATTCTTTATAAACACTCATTACCTCTCCTATCACATCTCTTCCTACTGACATCATAATGTGTTGTTTAAAGGACATCACTACTAGTACACACTGGTTCTCATCCACAATTTCCACCAGTGATCCTAGACCATGGCAATTAGACCAATAAAGTCCATTCTTTCAAAATGTACAACATTGATTTAAGTTGTGATCTTTTTGAGGTATAAAGCCATTTTAAAAGCAAGATGTAATGAGAGGACGTGGAAGTATCGAGGAGGAAAGAAATGATGTTTACTGGTACACTACACACCAACCAAACTGTTACACTTGACTAGTTATCTCATCAGGTCTATCAGTAGACAAAAGACATGGAAAGAACAACAGCCTCTTTTTTTTCTCCCTCCCTCCTCCTCCTCTTCCACTGCTAACTGGTGGAGGTTTGTCATTCTTAGAAAAGATGGATCCAATTCTTGACAGAGTTGCATGCTCTTCAGGAAACAGATCAACATGTCAAGATCATATTTTAATAGGGAAAAGTCTAATCAGACCAGACACACTAACAATACCAGTATTGCTAGCAATGTCAATGTGTTCTTTGAATGTCTCAGGAGCAAAGAGAATCCCATCCACCTCAGTTAGCAGTATATCCTTATTCACAACAACCCATACCTTGTCTTCATTTTAAAAACACTGATCAAACAAGTTGACTGCAATGAATCAAGGACATCTAAAACTTCTCTCCTTTCTGCATGGTATAATGTAATTGTCCTTACCAGAAGGCATTACTTCAGAAAGGGTCAGTATATTCTCTTTCCTTTTCACATGTAGTCGGTACATTTCATGATCATAAAGATTTGATTTATTCCTTCTTGTACTATACGAATGGACTCACAGGCACTAGACAACTTATTAAAAGAAGAAATCTAAACCACTCCCACCAAGCTTACGGCAAATCGGCAGTCTAAGACGACTATATCACACCTTTCCATTGTAATAATGATCTATTTCTTCCTTTCTCCTCCTTTCAACAGAATCACTTATCTCATCCATATGACTCACCATCACAATAACATGGCACTGATTAAGAGCTTTCTGTGCTTCATTTCTCACAACTATTAGCCACTGATTAAGTTGTTTGACTGCTTCTTTCTCCAATATATTGACTACTATCAGGAACACACCACTAGAACATTGTAACAGATTCTCAATGACAGTACTGTGACTGGAGTAGTATTCTAAATGACCAGCAAACTCATGAAGAATGATGCTATACAGTGTCCTGTGTTGCATGTAGCTTATAAGGAATGATGCCAACAGTACAGGGTACTACCCCTCCAACATTTTCTAAAGGAACCAAGAACAATAGGGCCAGTAACTGTGTCATTTATGACTAAAAGTACTTTTACCAGCTCCAGAATTATACCCAGAAGGAGAACGTTAACAAAAGAATCAATTGGATGAGATATTTTAATGTTACCAAACTTCTTGAAAATAGCAATGACATTACCATACTGTCTCTCATTAGCTAGCTAGTTGTAATGGTGTCCTCCCCTTATTGTCTTTAGATCACAATTACCAGATAAAAAGTAATTTCAACTGTACCACAATTAGCAGCATGATGAAGAGGTGTTAATTCATCCTTATCAGAGACCATCATATCACAGTCACATTCATTAATGAGGTACTTTACAACATCTAACAGCACGATGAAGAACAGTCTGACCCCTATTGTTAGTAGTCATTAGATTACAGTGATGAGTATTGATGAAATACTTTAAGACATGAAGTGATCCTTCACTAGCTGCATCATGTAAGATAAAATTATTTCCTAATTTATCACGAGTCATTATATCACAGTTACACTCATTAATGTATGGGAGGTGATCCCTGCCAAAACTCAACTAAAATAATGATACTATACTTCTACTGATAGCACACCATGGACTAATGATGACGTGAAAGAGTTTCTGAAATAATAGCAGTAATAGCACCATGGGATGATAATAATTATGAGGATGCAATGGTCTTTCCATGACAGCATCTCAAGATAAATAAATAAAATAAATTAATTAATAACAATAATAAAACTTTATTTAATCAAATTTTAGTAATTAAGTAAGATATTTATCTCTAATGTAACTAGCAATAGATTTCTCTTCTATTGTATCCAGTGCTTTAGCTAATGATGACCAACTGGGACCTCCTTTCTCTCTCACTTTATCTTCTCCTCTTAACCAGGCAGACATACACTCATGGAAACACTCCACTGGATCTCCTCTATTCTTCTTGTCTATATCCACTAGTCTAGGATCATATAATCCTAACTGTAGACCTAATGCATGCCATACAGAACAGGGTAAGTGTTGATCTGATGTTAATGTTTCAATGACATCAGCAAGATCGTTAATATCTATAAAAGAATGTGCTTACACTGTACAGTTTACACTCCCACTAATTGAAAATTTGTAATAGTACATATTCTGGACATACCTACATGTAGCTTTATTCGAATTAATGGTATGTTTAGTTCTTCAGGTATTGTAATCACTTCCTATACAATTATAATGATAACAACAATAATAGTAACTGATTGTGTCACTGTGCTTTTTTATCAAGATGATATATATCAGTAGTGTATTGCTGAAAGGTGAGTTTAACAGATGTACAAGTATAATTATAGTGTTAGTAGTAAAAGCCACACAACGACAACCCACAATTATGACAGACTGAGTAATTTTAATAAGAAATACAATTACTTTAAAAAGATACATGTATGACCTTTTGATCATTAGTGCTTGTATCAATGTATCAAACAGTTTGTGTGTGTGCTAATTCTTACTTTAATATCACGTCTTCCTAATAGTGACAGGTTACTAATATCTGATAATGATTCATCAGGCAGGATCTCCTTCAATTCTGAACGTCTAGTACCAGTGGTAACTAGAAATGGTCGTTGTTCAACTACTGCTGAGAGTACAGCTCCTACACTATACACTGTCCTTTCTCTTGGTGTATTTACAGGATAGGCTAGTTCTTTAGGATCAATAACTAACTCTTTTACCTCTAGACTGGGACAGGATTCTTTATAAACACTCATTACCTCTCCTATCACATCTCTTCTTAAAGACACCATATTGTCACTGTAGCCTTTCTCATAGGACATCATTACTAGTACACACTCACTCTCATCCACAATCTCTACCAGTGACCCTACACCATGACCATTAAACCAATAAAGTCCATTCTTCCAAAATGTACAGTAACGATTTAACTTGTCATCTTCTTGAGGTAGAGCCATTTTGTAAGCAAGATGTAATGAAAGGACGTGGAAGTATCGAGGAGGAAAGAAATGATGTTTACTAGTACACTGTAGACACCAACCAAACTGGTACACTTGACTAGTCATCTCATCAGGTCTATCAGTAGACAAAAGACATGGAAAGAACAACAACCTTTCTCCTCTTCTTTCTCTCTCTCCCTCTTCCACTGCTAACTGATGGAGGTTTGTCATTCTTAGGAAAGATGGATCCAATTCTTGACAGAGTTCCATGTTCATCAGGAAAGAGATCAACATGCCAGGATCATATTTAGGGAAGAGTCTAGTCAGACTAGACATACTAACAATACCAGTATTGCTAGCAATGTCAACATGTTCTTTGAATGTCTCAGGAGCAAAGAGAATCCCATCCACCTCAGTTAGTAGTATACCCTTATTCACAACAATCCATACCTTGTCTTCACTTTTAAGAACACTGATCAAGCCAGTTGACTGCAACAAATCAAGAACATCCAAGACATTTTCCCTATTATCTGGTATAACATACATGTAATTATCCTTACCAGCAGACATTATGTCATAGAGGATAAGTATATTCTCTTTGCTTTCCTCCAGTAGGCCATACATCATGTGACAATAAAGACTCAAATTCCTTCCGCTTGTACTACGAATGGAATTGCAGGCACTAGACAAATTATTAAAGAAAGAATCCACACCACTCCCACCAAGCTTACGACAATCTAAGCAGACACTATCACACCTTTCCCTCACAATAATCTCCTGTATTTCTTCCTTTCTCCTCCTTTCAGAAGGATCACTTATCTCATCCTTATGACTGACTATTACAATAACATGGCATTGATTAAGAGCTTTCTGTGCTTCATTTCTCACAACTGTTAGCCACTGATGAAGCTGCTTGACTGCTTCCTTCTCCAATATATTGACTACTATCAGGAACACACCACCAGAACCTTGTAAAAGATTTTCAATGACGGCACTGTGGCTGGAGTAGTATTCTGAATGACCAGCAAAATCATGAAGAATGATGTTACCCAGTGTCTTGTGTCGTAATTTATAAGGAATGATGCCGGCAGTATAGGGCACCACCCCTCCAACATTTCTTAAGGAACCAAGAACAAAAGGGCCAGTGGCTGTGTCATTGATGACATGACTAAGAGTAGTTTTACCAGCTCCAGGATTACCCACAAGAAAAACATTAACATAAGAGTCAATTGGATGAGATATTTTAATGTTACCAAACTTCTTGAAGATAGCAATGACAGTATCACTATCATTCCTTCTCCCTTTAGCTAGTTTTAATGGTGTCATCCCCTTATTGTCTTTAGCCAAAGGATCACAATTACCAGTTGACAGTAAGAATTCTACAACTTCAGGTGTACCCCACAAGGCAGCATAATGAAGAGGTGTTCTTTCATATTTATCAGTGACCATTACATGACAGTTACAGTGGTTAATGAGGTACTTAACGGCATCTATGTGTATAACAGCACAATGAAGCACAGTTGCACCATCAGTATCACAATATTGTTTATCCATTATATGACTAGTTATATGACCATTGATGCTCGTGACTATACACTTCAAGACATCAAGTAATCCTTTTGTAGCTACACCATGAAGAACAGGAACCGGACAGCCATACTCAGTAATACTCATCATTGGATCACAGCCACACTCTTTAATAAGATATTCAACTATATCAATGTGATTACCTTTAGCAGCTATGTAAAGACAGGATGAACCATAGTAGTATTCATCTAGATCATAACGGTAAATAGTGATGAGATCTACGGTAACATCAAACCAGCCATTACTTATAGAATGATAAAGCAGGTCAGGCTCAACCCGACAAAGTACTTTAGGATCCTGTAAACCTAGTAACCGAACAGCTTCTTTATGATCTCCTCTTGTAAATGCCCCTAGACAACGAGTTGAAGCTTCACTCGAAGTTGCCATCTTTTGCTTCGCAACCCGCATTCGGCATACGATTAATTTAATTTTAATTAATTATTACTGTTACCATGGAAACTCTTTTGTTACCATAGAGACCGATCAAAAACAAAATGGCAGACAAAAGTTCGTGTACAGTCAGTATATATTTGAAAACTAGAAGTACTAGTAAAAATACTGGAGCCCTCTCTGTGTCTAATAACAAGAGAAGAGAACCTCTGGAACAAAATGTAGGGCACTGAAGCCTCAGGACTACCAAACCTACCTTAATACATACACCCACTCTATCCTAGGGCCTCAGTCTTCTACCAGTGGGAAAGATAATTAAACACAGAGATACCTAGTCCTCCTCCATTCCCTACTCCACCATTAGACTCCTTTACATTAAGTGATTTCTTGTTGTTCACTGATACAGCTAGGGGAGCCTGAGGAGATTGGTATCAAATTCTATTGTACTCTCTAGGGATAATATAAATCTTAAAATGACTGGCTGGTTCTCTTTTGCTCCTAGACAATCAGTCATGGACACCCAGTCATGCATCAGACATCAGTTAACCTTTTGCTGGATCAGTATGACACTGGCCATATACTGGGAGCCAGTGTACAGTATCTTATATATGACTGTCAATACAATTAAGTTAATAACAATACAGATTAATCAGACTATAACTCAGTGCTAGGGATCAATCTAAAATCAGGGTGAATTAAGTATGAATCAGTGTGTATCAGTATCAATCAGTACATTCATTAATGATTATTTCAATACTAGGAAACAGTTCTCTTGCTCTACTTAATGTCATCTTGTTACTGTTGGACCTTTCCAGGAAATAACTAGAAAATAATTAAGAAAATAATTAAGACAACAAGGACATGTACATGTATATGTATATACATCAGAAAATGTCATAACAATGGAGACTTTTACACCAATTTCAAAGTAACTTTAAAATCTGTAAAAATTCCAAATTTTGATCGGAATCAGCTCAAACTTTCTACACAAGATAAATACATGTATATGCATTGGAAAATGTGATAAAAATTAAGAATTCTCCACTTTTCATTTCTGGCAAAATTTAGCCCAAGATCATGTACACATACAGGGACTTTGACCAGATTTTGGAGCAACTTGAAAAATACTATTCATAAAACTCCAAATTTCATCGGAAACAGCTCAAACTTTCTACACAACATTTGTACATGTACATGTATATGCATAAGGAAAAATTATAGCAGCAAAGAATTCTCTCCCTTTTTTAATTATGGCAAAATTTGGCCTGAGACCCTGTACTACAGTACACTGTCAGGGACTTTGGCCAATTTTTGAGTAAATTTGAAAATTTATAAAAAATTCAAATTTGATTAAAAACAGCTCAAACTTATACTTGTACTACGCAACAGAAGAACATGCATATGTACCTTAAGGAGACAATTGTTTACGGGTATTTAATTTAGCGAATTTTAGCAATTTAAAAAAAATCGCTAACTTAAGTCCGCGCTAATTTTAATTTCTTCATTAAAAGTGGGTGTGGCCACAATGAATAAAATGGCGGCCGTCAGCAAGTCTGAGCTTATTTGCAGCAAACGGTCAGCAAGATAATACTAAACTACTGTCCAAAGACTTCTCTAGCAGTTAGCCTAGGTTAACAAAGCAGATGACAATCTTCTTCCTTCAGTGACTGCTTCTAACTGTAAGCAAGATAACTTTAATGGCTGCTGAGTCAGTGATGAAGCAATTTCAGCAAGATTAATGCAACAAGATCTGCTGTATTTAGACTTGTGCAATTGCTTTGCTAGCTCAGACATGTAGATCACAGCACATAATCTATAGCTTGCCTAGGCTCGCCCCTTTAATTCTTCTAGAAGTTATTAATACCAAACGATCAAAAACGCTAAATTAAGTACCAGCCAAATGTCAGTTTCATGAAAATTGCTAAAATAAGTACACGCTAATAATTGTCTCCTTAAGGTATCAGGAAAAATTATAAAAAGGAAAATTCTTGCCTTTTCAATTTTGACGAAATTTGGCCAACGACCCTGTACTATCATACAGGAACTTTTGGCCCAATTTTTGAGCAAATTTTAAGAAATTATAAAAAATCAAAACTTGATCGGAACCAGCTCAAACTTTTTATGACACATAAGTACATGTAAGGTACATGTATATCCCAACTGAGTTTGACCCAAGAAAAACTGGAATAACTTTTTATAGGAATGTGGGATAAGGATGAAACTTTCACAGGTTCTTAGTCGCCCAATGCCATCACAGGATCTCAGGTATTGGGTCTCTCAGCCCTTGGGAACCCTGAGAACCGGGTTCTCCCTATAAACCCAATGGCATACCAAAATGACGTTTTATGACAATTTTCTCTGTCATAGTTTACATAACAACATGTGGTCGAGTGCCCAAACTGATAATTCTTCTTTTTAAAAGCTAACAGAGTGAAAATCTTTTGATAATGATGGTCTTTATGAAGACCAGTTGACTCCAGCAGCTACATGTATTGTACTACTTATCAGAATAAACAAAACCATTATAAGAGTGCAATACAGGCCAACTACGCAGCTGTAAAATGTCAGCCATGCTTCTATGAATATCATTATCATAAGACGTCATCAGTGACGTAAACTACATTTTTCAAATTCCAAGTGGCTGGTGTCAAACTCAGTTGGGATATAGTATACATGTATAATTATGCATCATAAAAATATATAAAGCAGAGAATTCTCTCCTTTTCAATTTTTTGTAAAATGTTGCCCGTCATCCTTATACACGTACATGTACATGTAGTATAGGGGCTTTTTTTGGACTTTGTAGCAGCTTTTAAAAAATTTGTTAATTCTATATTACACATTAATAATCAATTTATTATTAATTAATAATAATCTCACTTATTTCATGTACACGTATATAATCAGCAACAGATGTCTTTCCTACTTCACCAACAGCAATAGCTAGTTTGTTCCATGTTGCTTCACTATCATCTGTCAGCCATTTTGCTAAACATTCTCTCAGATATTGCTTATTACATTACTCTTTACATTGCACTTATCATCATCACACATTACTCCTCCATCTCCCTACACACACAATGTAGTATAATAATGATGACAAGAAGTGTTTCTAATAACTTTTACCTTTGCTCCTAATAGTGACAGGTTGCAAATATCAGATAATGATTGATACAGGTACACCTTTAGTACCATCAAATATTTCTCTCTTATCTCTTGTCAAAAGTAATAGCTTTACCTGCAGCAATACTTAGTTTGTTCCTTGTTGCTTCCAAGTCCTCTTTTAGCCATTTCGCTAAACATTCTGTGAGACACTGCTCAGCATCTCGTGGATAATTATGCTCAATTGTCTTTAAATCATTGAAACTCAGACCCAAGTAGAGACCAAGATCAAACCACTTGATAGTTTGAAAGTTACCATCTTTCAACACTTGTTTTACCTCTACCAGATTCTGGATAGTCCAGAAAACTATAAATAAATAAATATTGTAAAACTTAGTGACATGTAAGTGCTTATACCTTTTTCTTGATCATCATTGTACTCACTGATCTGTGTGGGTGAGTAATTAGTGGCTGGTTCGTCATTTTGAATTTTCGTCTCTATATAAAAGTATAAATATGACACAAACATTATTAAACCATAGTCACTATACACATGTACATGTACGTGTACTATACAATACCACTACTTGACAATTGTGATAATACGTATCATAACATACCTCCCTTGAGATAAGTGGTCTGAAGCTATGCTGTCGACTACTTACATGTACATGTACATATATTTCTAGGGAGTTATGTACCCATAACCATTTCCAGGCAAGGAGGTATCCTACACGTACCTAGCTTTATTGTAGTCAATGGTGTCTTGAAATCTTCAGTTATTTCAATCACTTCCTATACAACGATAATAATAATAACACTAATAATAATAATTATTATTATTATAATTAGAAATGACGTACACGTAAAATCAATAATAGAAAGGAAAGGAAAGAAAAAAGCACACAAAGACAGATAATAAGGAAAACAACGATGACAGAAAACAAAACCAAAAAAGAAAAAACAAAAGGAACAAGGAGAGAGAACAAACAAAAGGGAAAGAAGAGACAAACAAAAACAAAAGGAAAAAAGAGAAGAAAGGAAAAAAAGGAGTATACTACTAATAATTATAATATGTATAGGTTATACACCAAGGTAGAGGTTTCCGAGGAATTTATTAACCAAGCGACCAGCCACAAGGTTAATATATGCCATAGAAACCAGATACCAAGGTGTATAACTAACTTCCACCAAGAAGTTTGAAAAACAACTACCAGATGCAGATAATAAGATCACAGTTGACATACATGTACATACAACATATCAAACAGGCTAAAAAATCAACCAAGCTTGACAAATGGACTAATTACCTAATAAGAGCGTAAGCATAAAGCGCCAAGTTTCTAAAGGCGGGTTATCAATTATGACGCATGCATGTCTGTCATGACCGGAAGTGCTGT